GGGATGTGTCTGCTGGTACAGGAGGAACTTCAGCACTTACCTCAAGAGGATCCTCAGGGAAATACAGCAGAATTCCCTGTTGTTGCACAGGAAAAACATCTTTCAGCAATCTTCAGCATCCAACCTCCCTGAGTGCTGCTGACATCCCTCCTGACCCAGAGCAGGGAATTTCCTCCCCATTTCCCTGGGGTGGGCAAAGGGAAAGAACCCCAGAGCATGGGGAGGGCAGCGATCCCAATCCAGCACCACAACCAGGAGGGTGTGGGAAGCCTCTGGATCCTGGAGAAGGCTCTGGGGACACCTCCAAACACCTTCCAGTGCCTGAAGGGGCTCCAGGAGAGCTGGAGAGGGCCTTGGGACAAGGGATGGAGGGACAGCACACAGGGAATGGATCCCACTGCCAGAGGGCAGGGCTGGATGGGATTTTGGGAAGGAATTGTTCCCTGTTAGGATGGGGAGCCCCTGGAATGGATTTCCCAGATTTGCTGTGGCTGCCCCTGGATCCCTGGAAGTGTCCAAGGCCAGGTTGGATCCACCTGGGATGATGGAAAGTGTCCCTGCCCAGGACAGGAGGTGCAACTGGCTTGGCTTTTATGTCCCAACTTCTGCTTTGATGCACTCAAGCACCTTGGATATTCCACATCCCCGTCCTGAAAATCCCGTGACCCACCCCTACAGCCCCTGCAGCCTCTCCTTCTTTTCCTTCTCCTCTCTCCAGAGCTTCCCAAAGCAAGCAGAGGCTCAAGGAAAATCCATGGCCAAGACCCAGCTCCGAGGCTGACAAGATAAAGAGTTAAAGCAGGCAAAGCCAAAGCTTTGGAAGAAAAAGGACTCTGCAATAAATCAGATATTAGAAGGCAGGAAAGTGCTGTATAGAGGAATCAAAGTCCGGAACAGGATGTATATAAAGCAAATATTGAACTAACTTTGATAACACAGAAAAATGGAAGATTTTTTGGTGGGGTTGAGCGAAGGCTCAATTTGAACCATTAGAAATTTCCTGTTTCACTCGTGTGGGGCTGTTTTGCAGTGATCTATACAATGCATTGTGTGCCTGCTGATTTCCTAGCCATGAATGGGTCACCCACATTTTTACTTTCCATGCTTTTTTTTCTGTTGGTTTTTTTGTTTTTCTTTTTTGTCTGTCCCGGAGCAATCAAGCTATTGAAATCCTCCAGGCCTTGCCCATTGGGTGTTTTCTTTCCTACCAAGACATCAAACTGCCCTGAAGGTTTATTTTAAGCCAATTCAATAGGAGGGATCACACAAGCACCTTGTGGAACGTGTACAATGGGAGCCGAACCCAGGGCTATTCAATTAACAAGTGCTCCCATTTCCATGCAATTCCTGTTGGGAGTTCATTACTTTAATTAGGCTGCTAATTTATGAAGCTAAAGAGGCACCATTTGTTGGCGGGACACGTAGGCAAAGAAATTCCAGATGAGTTCACATGGAAGGAAGAGGAGCTGGAAATCTCTCCAGATACAACCAGACTGACCAAAATAAGATCATTAAGAGCAAGAAACGGGACTAAAAACCCTGATTTAGGGAATGTTCAGGAAAATCTACCTCATCTCTCTTAGGAAATAAAACTCAGACTGTCCCCCATCATCTAAACCCCCTCAAAGCATTTTTGATTTTCCATTTTTTTCATGGAAAGTTATCCAGTAGTGGAGTCCCCATCCCTGGAGGGATTTAAAAGCCACGTGGATGTGGCACTTGGGGTGTGCTGGGGGAATGGTTGGATTTGGTAATCCTGGAAAGCTTTTGAGCAGTGTGTAAGAACCCTTTCCATGAAGAAATTTCCCCAAATATCCAATCTAAACCTCCCCTGGCCCAGCCTGAGGCCGTTCCCTCTCCTCCTGTCCCTGTTCCCTGGAGCAGAGCCCAAATCCCCCAGGCTGTCCCCTCCTGTCAGGGAGTTGTGCAGAGCCACAAGGTCCCCCCTGGTTGGAACCCAAAAACCTGGGTTTTTGGAGTTTTCTGTACTTTCTGGCACTGACCCCCTGGAGAACTCTGCTTTTGGCCTGAGGCCTTGGAGAAGGCTCCAAATTTGAGTGATGGAGTTAAAATCACGGGTGTGGAGTTAAATAGAAGTGTGTGATTTCACATGGTGAAGGGTTTGGAATTTGAGGTTTTTATAATATAGTGATGGTATGGGACAAGATGGAGGATTTTGGTGTTGTCCCTTTCTGTCTTCTTCCTTCTTCTTCATGGTTTCAGGTTGTAGTTTCTGGTTGGACAGTCAGTGCTGCACTGGGGGTCACAGGAGTTTGGTTATTGGGTCAAAAGTATCAATAATACAGGTGTTAATTGTCTATTAGATTGTTTAGCCTTAAAAGACCTTATAACTAGCTAAATTCTCCTCCATTTTGCTCACTTTTAGCTGGTAGCTAGAAGTGTTGCAGAACTCTCTGTACTTTAGATAAAGATTTAATAAACAACCCAGCCCAAACACGAGAAAAATTCATCTTCTTTGTGTTCTCAATCCTAACTGACTAAAAACAAAAGAAAATAAAAACAAGCCACTAATTAAGAGGTGCAGGTACCACATTTACAGCCCCTGATCCCCCTTTTCCCCAGCCCCTCAATGTCTGTCCTGTACCTGAACACCCCAAAAACCCCCCCAGCACTGGAGGTGTCCCAGCAGTGCCAGCACAGGGGACAGGCACTGCCCTGGCCCTGCTGCCACACAAATTCCTGATTTACAGCTGGGAGCTGCTTTCCAAACCCCAGCAAAGGAAAAATTCCTGGATTTCAGTGCAAAGTCCACGGCCCAGAAGCTGCTGCTTTATGTGCACACCTGGAATATGCAAAGCAGGTTGGATTGAACAGGCTGGTTTTACATAAACCTTCCATAAAAACAAAACTGAGCACAAAACCTCCCCCCAACAAATGCAAAAGTGATGTAAAATAGAGCCAGAAAATCAGCTGCAGGCTCGGTTTAAGCAGCAAAAAAAATCAGATTTCTGCTCAGCCCCTCAGGGAAAGAAGGGTAAGGTGGGATTGCCCTCTCCATGGCAGCCAGATTTCAGATCCATGGAGCTTCAAGCTGCATCCTCATTTCTGTGAGCACACAGAGGAAGGTTTAGCACCTCCCTGGATTTGTAAATCTGTAAATATCAACTCATGCTCACAAACAGCTGCTGAAAAACAGAGCCAGCAGCACAAAACTGATTAATCTCCTCCTAGTTTGAATTTTACCCAATTAAAAACCCAAGCAAGAAGGTCTAAACTTAAAACAGCAGCTAAAAAAAAAACAAAACACAAAACCTTAACTTCTTATCTTTTAATTTGAATATAAACAACTCACCTTTTTGCCAGCTTAACAATTAATAAATGAAAACCACTCAAAGCTTAAAAATTCCAGTTTAGGAACCTGTGAGTTTATTAAAGGAGTCAAAGCCAGGCAGTGGATGGATACTGTTTATTGGTTCTTTCCATCACATCTGAGTTACAGGTGTAAAAGTCACACAAACTGCAGGTATAAACATGTAAAACAATACAAAAATAAATGGAAAGGTCATTTTATATTTACTGAATCAAGTTGTGTAATAAATACGAGAGGCAAAAAGCTTCAATCACACCATTCAGCTGAACTGAAGTTACAGTAGTGTTTGTAAATAACACGTTTTTTAACTTAAGAGTTGCAAATATTAAAGCATTGAGAACTAGTATAAAAGTGAATTTTGGCACATTGTAAAGTGAGAAGTGTTACATTAGGATGTGGCTGTTGTGTAAAAATGAAGCAATTTCTCATGAGCTTTCTGAGGTACGTTTTTAACAACCTAAGATTAGATCAACCTTGTGATTCTACCAACTCACAGTTCACAATTCACTATACTAGTCACAATTTTTTTTTTCCCTTTTCAAGAATACCAAAGTATTCCAGAGCTTAAATCTGTGCAAATTCAAACAAGTTTCAATTAAAAAATAACAATAATTTTTTTTTTTTAAAAAAAAAAAAAACAACACCTCAACTTATTAGGGAACCCTCACATGCAACTTTTAACTCCTCCCTGCAATCCGGTGTGTTAATTGCAAAGTGTAAAAAAACTGGATTAATCCCAAATTGCACAGCTTAAAATTCAAATACTCCCAGATTGCAGAGCAGCTCCAAGTTGCAAAAGTTCCCCTGCTAAGTTTGTCACATTTGAATGCCTATAACTTCAGTAACTTCTGATCACACTCATTCTCGGTGAGGAGAAAGACAAAAAAAAAAAAACAAAAAACACCACCACAAGCTGCTAACAAAGGTCAGCAAAGCGTGGAAACCCCTTGAGGACTCTTCAGCACTTCCCAAGCTCAGGAATGCCTGGACACAAATTTTTCCAAGTACAGTAAAAAGAGAAAAGGAAAGTTGTAATGGCACTTTTGCTGTATCCAAACATCAGTGGGTTAGAAATGGTGCTTTTGTTGGTTGTTTTTTTTTTTTTTTT